TACTTAACACTAACATACACGAATACAGAACAGATCAGAGGCCTAAACATAAAACCTACAACTATAAAACTTCTAGAGGGGAACATGGGAGAAAATCCTTGTGTAACCTTGGGTTAGGCAAATATTTCTTACATATGACACCAAAGAATGATCCACAAAAGCACAAATTGAAAAACTGGCCTTCAGAAAAATTGAAACTTATCGTTCTTCAAAAGAATGATAAGCCACAGACTGGAAGAAAATCTTTGCAAAACATGTATCTCATAAAGGATATCCATTTGTATACATGTGTCAAAACTCAAAAAAATTATACACTTTCAATATTTACACCTGATTGTATTATCAAGTACAACTGAATAAATCTTTCAAAAAGATGAAGTTGAGCTAAGGCAGTATCATAGGAGATGCACATAAAATATAGAAGAGAGGTAGAATCCTTAGGACTTGGTAACAGAAAGAGGTGAGAGATGCTCAGTTTCCTTTATTAAATGTGGATTCAAGTAAGACCTTTTACCTTCAAGTAGCTATTTAATATAAACCAAAAATGATTGCAGTGTTAAATCACTGCATTGATGCTAGTTGGGTTTTGTTGCTGTTGCTGTTGTTGTTTTTGTTGGAAAAAAAGGATCTAAAAGAATCCAAGACAAAGATAAAGAAAAAGTCAATGATATCTTTCTCCCCTAAAATGTAGCAACAATGGCTGAGGTATTTAACTCAATGGCTTAAAGATTCACTTAGCAAAGTAATTTTTATGTAACTAAAACAAGAGGATAAACACCTCTCACTGGGTTTATGTAAAAGCAAAAAGGGGATGCCTGCTCTTTTATACTGATCTGACTTCTGAAATGGTTTAGACAGAAGTCCAATGCCACCTGCCCCTGCTGGGTTATGTCAACGGAGAAAGGCCAGTTCTGCAGGGTTTCTCTCTAAAAGCCTCCCGGTTTGCCAATATTTCTCCAACTGCCTCCTATGAAAAATCCCATCCTACAAAGAGTAGCACAGACAGAACTGGAGATCTGTTGAGTTTATTTCATTATTTCCAAATTATTATTTGGAATTATTTCCAAATTACTTCCAGTAGAAAATAAATATTTTCTCAAGGCAAAGTTCAAAGTTACACTAGAATACTGGGTTCTTTTGCTTTTAGCTGGAATCATATTATTTAGTTAGAATCAAAGTTGATAGTTTAAGATGGTTTTGATCCATACAAATGGGGAAAGAAATTATTACTTTGTTTGCCTGATAGCATCTTTTGAAATCACATGTCCAGGAAAGGGGAGAAAAAATAGTAATGATGCACTTTGTTTAGAAGAATAGAAACCGTGTTTTAGAGGAGAATCCTCTTAGGTCAGTGCCTCCCACCATCCTCTAAGGGCACTGTTACTGTTTCTACTGGCTCAAATATGCAAACAATAATTCTGTTTCTCAAAGATTCTACAAAATCTACCCAGCCTACCTTCCTTTAAAGAACTGCCAGCCCCCCTTCCTCTTAGAGGGATTGGAAATTGCCACAGCCCCCCACCAAGCCCCATACATATTCTCTCACTACCTCTACCCTACATAATAAGTCTGTGATCCAAACTATGCCAATCTGATTCTCCCTCCACCATATCTGACCGCTGAGCAAAGATACTTAGTTAGATAAAAAATGAATGAAGCAGAGACATCTAAGAGTAGCTAATTAGAAAAGGCCAATCCCCTAGTCCCTGCTGCTGGGATCCCTGGAGTTTCCCTTGTTCTTGATCCTTCCTCAGCCCAGTTTGTTCGACTCTTTCTTACTTAATTTTGTATAAGAAAGAATTCGGTGGTCTTTGTCTTCAGGTCAATTTCCCTGGTGATAGGAATATCTCTGTTATTCATGGTGGAGCCCTTGGATCACACTTGAGTTTGAGCTAATGACTCTGGATGGGGGCTAGTGACCAGAAAGACCAACCAGGTGACTAGGGGATTGGGCCTTTGGGCCAGGAGATATTAGCCCAACCTTCAGAAAGGAAAAGGGGGTGCAGAATGAGTGCCATCATGGAGCCAGTGATTCAATCAATCATGTCTATGAAATAGGACCTCAATAAAAACTCTGGACACTGAGGCTCAGATGAGCTTTCCAGTCAGCAAACATATTCGTGATTAATGTGCTGGAAGGGTGATAAGTCCTGATTCCATGAAGGGAAGAGACAGAAGCTCCAAATTCAGGACCCTCCTAGACCTCGCCCTATTGGTCTCTTCTTTTGTCTGGCCCTAACTTTTATCCATTATAGTAAAATGGTAATCATAAGTACAGCACTTTCCTGAGTTCTGTGAGTCATTTAGCAAATTGTCAAACTGAGGGGATAGTGGGAACCCATGATTTGTAGCCAGTCGGTCAGAGCACAGGTGGCTGGAAACACCCAAAGTTTATGGCTGGTCAGTGTCTGAAGTGACAGCAGTCCTCTTGGGGACTATGCCCTTAACCTGTGAAGCCTGCACTAACTGGGCAGTCAGTGACAGAATCGCATTGCATTATTTCATGAAACACTCTCTCTGCCTCATATTCCTCATCTGTAAATGGAGACAATCATGGTATTTCGACTTCAAAGGGTTTTTGTGCAAAACAAACGAGTTAATATCCATAAATCACTCAGAACAGTGGCTAGCATATATCAAATACTATGTAAATATTAAAGTCAGTTTTTTAGTTCTTGTTGTTTTTATTACTGAAGTCTAGAACTGGCTAATGTAGCAATTATCAGTCTTTTCTGTTAAAATCTAAGTAACACTGAGAAAACACTGGCTCCCACCATCAGTCAGAAAATGCTAACCACACTAATCATGTAGATGGTACTGACACTAGCCAGCTTATGTTCTGCACACAAATGAACACTGCTGATATCTATCTCATCTAGCAAAACTCAGGCCAGCCAGCTTGTGCCAGCGCCAGAATATCACATGCGTTTTGTAGCTCTGGGAATCATCACTCCAGAGATTAGGGGCCTTGTTGTAAATAACAGAGCAAATTGTTAGGAGGAATAGTACACATGAAGATCCTTACTTTTAGCTTGTCAAATCACCAGGCATGACCCATGGTGAGCAAATCCTAAAATGATACATACATGTCACCTCTCGGCTTAGCTATGGGCTACCTCCCAGTGCACTGGAATGTTTCTCCGCTCATCGGTAATGGGAACCAACCCCTCAAAACTCACTCCATTGTCTTCCATCTTCCCGTCATTTAGAACATACTTGGAAGTGTTCCAAATAGTTGCTGAGTCCAGGAATAAAGTTCTTACCAGAAAATTGTCTTGGCTGCTTTTTAGTATTATGATTTCATCCCTCTGTTTCGGCCCTCTCTTGGTCACTTTCCCTTCCCAGCTACTTCTGTGAGAGCTTTCAGAGAAGGCCAGGAATGCTCTCCCTGCCATTGTTCATTCCAAATTCCCACTTACGAAACCCAGTCTTCAAACCCAGGCGCCATGTCCTCATGTTGTTACAGAAAAAAGGAGAAAACTAAAATTAAACAGGACTAATAGAAGATTTTTCCTGGCAGTGCCGGTATAATTCCAAAGATCATTTCACTGCTTGATCTCGCAACAGCAGACAGCCAGAGCTGCTCAGGAGCTATTAAACAAAGCCCCCACAAGGAACTCGGCTCCTAACGATTTCCAGAAAGCGGTCTGTAGAGCTCACTTACGCTTCTTCTAAACTGATAAAAACACAGAGTGAACAAGAAGTATCAGGACTAGAATCCAGGTCTTCTTGCTTCGAATCTCAAGTTCCCCACGTACATTATACATGATCCCTTCCAGATCTAAAATTCTATAATCCCAGGCAAGATTAAAACAAAAATAGACACTGCCTCATTTCCTACCAAAACTGGTTTTCTCTACCACCAGACCAGTGCTTTCAACCGAGATGGCATGGAAAAGCATTGGCCCAGCGAGAGGAAGGTCCAGGTCTAAATCCTGGCTCTACTATTTACTAAGTGTGTGAAAACGAAAAAATCGCTTTATAAATCTGGGCCTAAGGCTCCTCATCTGCAAAAGCAGGGGCCCTGGTGGTCACTGAAGTTTAACCCTTCTTAGCATCAAGACCTACCCTATGAGACCCTGCAAATAGACTGCTTCCAATCTTGTTAGTATCAAAGGACACTCCAGCCACATATAGAGATGGAGAGGAGGCTAAAGTGCTGTTTTTCCCTTCCCTGTCAAGCTTCACAAGGTTAGATATGCTCTTTCACTCAGAGCTCTGAAGCAAATGCTCCAGGAAAAAAAAAATGGTAGTCATGGTTTAACAGTTTTATGTATAAGAAATAACTAAAGTTTTTATTTAATAAGTTCAACATGAGGCCACAGAATGACATGCCTGCTGAAGACTCCAGTATCTAATCAGGCTGCATTCACAGATGCACACAGGGTCCAGAACTAAGAAGGTGACAGTCCTGGTCAACTCTGAGCTGGTCAAACCACACCTAGGGGTCTGCATCCGACTCTAGGAGCTATGATCTAAGACATTAACAAAAGTGTTCACAGGCAGGAAACCAAGATGAGGAGGAGGCTGAGAAAACATGTTTCCTTCAAAGAACCTGGCTATTTAACCTGGAAAAGAGAAGGCTCAGGGGAGACTCCATCTTACTTCCAGCCAATCTTTGAATCACCTAGGTCTCAGCAGAGCTGAGACCAAGTGGGGAGCTATGGAAGGAAGGGGCTGCCTCAAAAGGCCAACAAGCTTCCTATCTCTGGAGAAGCAGCAGAAAGTGGGGTAGGTGGTAGAGATGGGGAGGGACATGATGGAATTCAATTAGAATTCCAATGAGGAGCAGCTCCAACTCTATTTGGAGCATCTTCCCCCACTCTCAGCAGTGACTAGATTCAGTCTTATTCAGTGACTATATGTAGAACCATTTTAATAATTTGCTCTTTACAAAGCATCTTATACTCATGTACTTTTAAGGCCAAGTTGCTGCCCATCTTCATCTGTCTTCTCTAAACCTTCCAGCAACTAAGATTGACAACCAAGCTGCCTATTACCTTCTGAAGACTTCCATGCCTTCCACAGGTCCTCCACACTGATGAGCTTATCCTCACCATGGAAGGTGCTGTGTTTCACTGTCGGGTCATGGTAATTGAGGTCTTCCCTCAGGAACTGCAAGGGAAAAGCACACAAGTCACAAGAGATACCTAGGAGCCAGCCCACCAAGATCTCCATGCAGGCCATCCAGCTTTCCACAGCACACTCCATCCACCCAACGTACATGTGTATCACACCACTTATCTGTCTTTCCAAGTGCATATGTCCTAGTTGCCAACTACACTGCCTCTTCTTTTTTGTTGTATGTTTCACTTGAAAAAAATGAATAAGTCCTCCCTCATATTTTTCTAATTATGGATAGATACTAAATAATAGTTAACCAGAATTCAATCAGCTAGAAGAAGGAAGAAGGATGGGGAAAAAGAATTAACAATTTGCGATCACTTGTTTATACACTAAGCAATATTCCAAGAACTTCTACAATACTTTTTCATCTAATCCTCTACAACCAATGAATTATCACACCTATTTTACAAACGAGAACAGTAATACTCTAAGATAATGCAACTTGCCCCAAATCACATTAAATTGAGAGATTAAATTACTTGTTATGATGGTTTTAAAATGTGTCCACAATTCTATGACAATCCTCCCACAAAAGGTGAATTCCCCTCCCCCTGAATATAGGCTGACATGAGTGACTCATCTTCTAACAAACAGAATGTGGCAGCAGTAATGTCAAATGACTCCAAGGCTAGGTGAGAAAAGGCAATACAGAGTCCACCTGGCTCTCTCCCTTTTGGGACACATGCCTTGAGAGTCCTGAACAACATATATGGAGCCTGGCTACCCAAAAGCCACCATTCTGGAGAGATCATGTGGAAAGACTATATAGAAATATAGAGAGATGTCTGAGCAGCCGCAGCTGTTTGTCTCCACAGCCCAGGAGTCAGACATGTGAGTGACTGAGGCTTCAGGTGATTCCAGTCCCCAGCTTCTGAGTCACTGCATCTGATCTCAAGTGGACACAGATGAGCTATCCCTGCTGAGCCATGCCCTGGTTGCAGGTAAATGACAAAAGAAATGTTGTTGCTGTTTTAAGCCATTGAGTTTTGGGGAAGTTTGTTATACAGCATTAGATAACTCAAACATTTCCTCAAGGTTACAGCTGATAAGTGATGGATTTGTATTCCAACCCAAGAGATCTGACTTTATTGTCCAAATTTTTCCCCAGCACTGTAGATGCTGTCCTTTAATTATTGGTATTTCTTTTCATAATATACTCTTACAAGAAAAAAGAAAAGCAAAAAAAATCAAAGCTTTTAGAAATTTTTTTTAGATTTTATTTATTTCTTTGAGATAGAGAAAGGAAGAGAGCGCATGCGTGCACAAGCAGGGGGAGCAACAGGCAGAGGGAGGGGGAGAAGCAGGCTCCCCACTGAGCAGAAAGCCTGATGTGGATGGGGCACCTGGGTGGCTCTGTCAGTTAAGCGTCTGCCTTCGGCTCAGGTCATGATCCCAGGGTCCTGGGATCGAACCCCACGTCGGGCTCCCTGCT